GGGACTGAGTCTTATGCCTGGGTCGGGCCTCCATGAGGTTTCTGAGGTGTGCCCTGATCACCCGCACCCAGTGTTACACATCAAACATTCAGATCTCTGGGACGTGTCCTAAACCCAGGGAACCTGAGTCCCCAGCTTTAACCAGCATGCCGTCAATGCTCCTTACCCTTTGACACTAGGGAGCCAGTGTACCCCTGCACACCAAAGAATAATTAAGATATTACCTGCTTAAGATTCCAGACTCAGGTCTTACATATTAAATCCTGCTGTATCTGCAATGCCAACTCAGATATACAACCACATAAGCCACATAAAAGGAAAAACAGTACAATAGCCAGAATAGAGGAAAGTTGTAGTGAAACAATCCTGACCTTAAATTAGTCACCCTTTATTTGTTACTAATGAAATACTCATTGGATAAACTTTAAAAAATGAAGTAGATTACTCAAAGCAGCTCCTGTAAGCATTTAGAAGAGACACTACTTGCCATTTCCTGACTTACCAGGTAGTGGACACTGACTTCCTGAACTTTTCCAGTCAGGCTTCTGAGTGGTCCTCCTGCACCTGCAGTGTGGTTCAAGTCCTTCCTGTGGAGAGAAGTCTGCACCTCTGCCTGTGACAGAGCCCTTTCTTGCTTCCCCTCCTTGACCATCTATTTCCTTGCAGGGTTATTACAGGCCTTATGGAAGAACTAGATAGAAGGATTATCTTAAGGAATTTTGCCCTGGGCCCTCTGCTCGGCTTGCCCTACCTACCACCCCCAACACCTGTTCTTTTCTGTGACCACAATGATAACTCCATCTGAAGACCCCTAGTTCCTCCAGAAAAGAATACCACTGGACCCTATCCTTTGAAGCAACTTGCCCAAAGAATTTTCCTAAATCAAACTCATCTTTCATCTTTCCCCCATACCTTTTTTTTTTTTTTTTTTTTTTTTACAAGACAGGGTCTCACTATATAACACTGGCTGACCTTTAACTCAGAGATCAGCCTGTCTCAGCCTCACAAGTACTGAAATTAAAGGTGCAACTGGGGGGCCAGTAACACCTTATTTAAGGATACAGGCATAACAGGACTTCGAGCCATGTCATCTTATTGTGAGAAATGTCATCCATTTCTAGTGAAATGGATACTAGAAAACACTAAATCCTTACAGACTGAACAAACATACACGCATATCACAGGAGCCTTGAACTAAGACTTTATGACATGTGGCAGTCAGCCCTTGCTAACCATAAGACAGGACCCATCTGGACTCACCAAATGGAAAAGGTAAGTGGGACAGAGTAAAATAAAACAACAAAGTATCACAAACACTAACCCAAAGAATGTGACAGAGACACTTTCAATGAGCATGACTGGTGGTAAGATGACTTTTCTCTGTAATTAATTGGATGGAAGAAAGGGCTACTTTGCTCAGGTCACAGTGACAGAATTCTGGGCATAGCACTTCTGGGCAGAGGAGCTACTTTGTTCAGTTTGGTGGATTCTTTTAGCTCACAGTTTTGTGGCCAAAGAGGCAGGGCAGTGTTCATGATGGCAGTAATGGTTCAGGAGCCAGGGGCAGCTTGATTACATCCTAAGGCCAGTGAGCAAGCAGAGAGGATTCCAGCTAGCACAGGGCCAGGCTGTAACCCATAGAGCCCACCCACAGCAACCTTCTTCCTTCATGGAGGCCTACCTCCTAAAGGTCCCAATAACTTCCCAAGTAGTGCCACTGGCTGGAGACAAAGGATTGAAATAAATGAGCTTGTGGGAATCAATCATTTCACATCTAAACCGTAACATTCCTTGCCCCATAGGCTCGTGGCCATCTCATAATACAAAATGTACTCAGTCCAACTTCAAAAGTCCAAAATTGAGAATGGGAAGCTTACTGGAGCACAGTCCACAGCAGCTGAGTCACATCTGCCTAGGTATCCATCAGTGGAGAAGCAGATAAAGAAAATGTGTTAAGCATACATACAATGGAGTCTAAGCTATAAATAAGAATGAAATCTTGTTAGTCTGTAGGAAAACAGATGGGACCAGAGACTGTGTTAACTGAAATAAGCCAGACTAAGAAAGGCAAATGTCACATGTTTCCTCTCAGGAGATCTAGATACAAGACATATGTGAAAATAGAAACAGAACTATTTCGAGAAAGAAAGGAAAACAGTGGAGGGTGCAGGTGAGGGTAACAGGAGTATGAACACAGTTTGAGTGCAGTGTGCTACATCTTGGACCTGAGGCCTGGGCTCAGCTGATGGATGATCTGTGCATTGAGGCTGCCACTGTTGTCCATGTCACCCACCAGCACGGGGAAGGCCTCTGTGGGACTCAGCTGCTTCGTCCCCACATAGGTGACCCACACAGTTGCTGTGTGCAGCTGTATGCTGCAGAGGTGCGCTTTCAACTGATGATGCACAACTCAACACTGTCTGAAGCTTGGTTTTGGCTTAGCCTTCAGATTTAATGGCAATTAAGACACTTCAAACAGAAAGAAATCACAAAGTGACCATCTTTCTGTAAGAAACCTTCTAGAACTTGTTACCACTGTGGTTTAACAGTGCAACTCTTCAACAGAGTAAGTGCCCATGTGACACTAGCCCTCCCAGCATCTTCCCTACTTGATACCCAAGTCATATATCCATTTTCTGAATGTTCCAGGATGCAGCTGGGTTCTTGGTCTCTGTTCAGGCTCCTGCTGCTGCTGTTTCTAGTCCCCTCATCTCCCTGCCTAGTAAACCCTCAATTACCTATACAATCTGCATGGACAGAAACAATTCCCCTGGAATTACAATACATACTCAGTAGACATTTAAATATTTACCCATAACTCACCTTTCAGCAATTCCCATTCATAAGGAACATTGCTGGGTGGCTTTAATACATCATGCAATTAAAATTCTCAAATAATGGATTTATTATATTTCCTCCCTTACAGAGGTATAAATTATCTCAAAAAGGTGAAGAAAAGCCACCTAAAACCTTACTGGGAGTAAATGTCCAGCTAGGATCTCAAGACTAGAACCCAGTGCAGGCTTCCTAGAAAGGCCTGAAGGATATGACTAGAAGTGAGGTGGGCAAGTCAGTCTCCCATGGTAGCATGGAATAGGTAAGCTGAGATGCAAGAACTGGCTGTCACCACAATATATTGCCTTAGAAGCAGGGAGAGCTGGGACAGAAGGTAATATGTAGACACAAAGGCCTCTTGTGTAGATTAGAAAAAAATGGCTGGAAATGGTATCTCGGGAAATTAGCTAGCAGCTCTGAGTGACATGAAATGCAGTGGAGGTGGAGGAAGACAAAGGGACAATTAGGAGCTGCAGTAAAAAACAAAAACAAACAAACAAACAAACCAGGGGGTTGGAGAGATGGCTCAGTGGTTAAGAGTACTGACTGCTTTTCCAGAGGACCATGGTTCAGTTCCCAGCACCCATAAGGCTGCTCACAACCCTCTGTAACTCCAGTTCCAGGGGATTGGCTGCCCTCCTCTGGCCTGTGGACACCATGCATGCATTTGGCACACAGACATCCAGGCAGGCAAAATGCCTATTCACACAGAATTAGAAATAAATAAATCCCAAAAAGCAATGGCCCTGGATGTTCCCAACCCGAATTAGACTAGCAGTTGTAGAGGGAAAGCACATTTTAGAGGCACTGCAGAAGGTTCTCTTGGCTACACTCAGATGCTTGACTATAGCTGAAAGAGACTGGCTTCTCGGCTGAAGAGAGAATGAATACTGCTACTATTTCTGACAGAGATGGCATGATACGAGAAGTGGGCCAATCAGCAGGTTGGACGTGTTAAATGACACTGCACAAAGACCCTGCTGATGACAAAGGGCCACTTCTGAGGCTGACCTCTTGAAAGGTCCCACTTCTTAGGTGACATCTGTATGGCTATAACTTATTGATACCTGTTCTTAATATGTTAACAGCATGACACCCAGATCTCTTACAAAAAATCACTAAGCACAATGTTTTAGAGGTGAGGTGGGCTCTTGTTTGGCTAGAACAAAACATGCAGACAGGTCTCCATGCAGAATTAGATCCGTTCTGTTAGTTATACTACAGGATTCTTGGTAGACTCTACCACACTCTCTATGTCCATTCAACACCCCACCCCAGTTCCAGCAAAAAGAGAATTTTTTAAAGTGGGTTTGGTCACTAAGGAAAGAAGTTGTCAAGTTCATATCCTTCACGCTAGATTTTTCATGTCTGCACCTTTAAAGACAAATGAAACCATTCTTTCCACCACCCTTTTCTATGCTCACGCTTCATTTCTGTTCAGCCAATGAGACTCTACTTGCCACTTTCTGCCTTCAAAGAGCACATGATTTAACCTGATAACAGCTTGCCATACTATCCTTTCACTTTCATCTAAGAAGAACAGGGCACAGGTCTCCAGTCTACAGGTACCAGAATACTCTTAAACCAGCTGTCACAGAGCTGTATCTAATTCTAGCTATCAGATGACACACAACTATGATGTGCCTGACTCCCAGGTCAGTCCATACAATAAGCAACACTATTATGGGCTAATACCCAACTGGATGTAAGAAGACTGGATCTAATACTGGAATTAGAAGGGGAAATACTTCAAAACATCCTTGGGGTAATCTAGTCTATAGCCCAACATACATAGGATAACCCCAGAGGTCCCACAGGGAACAGAACGAAGAGTAAAGAAAGTCCCCACGGTCATTGTAGGCTTAAGACTACATAGCACAGTGCAGCTTCCTGAACTCAGGTACTGCATTTTAAAAGCACAGTGGCTGTAAACATAGTAAGAATAAGGAAATAGGAAGGATAAATGTCTCCTTTAATTCACATGTAATCAATTTGGGCATAAAGGTTACATTGTAAGACAATCCACAATCCTGCAGAAACAGAATTCAGAATATTCCAAGTGAGAATCCAAATTAGAGGAAAGAAAAATGTTGAGTTTCAAAGTTGGATGGAGGTAATAAATACAGCTCAGGACAAATACAAAATAGTCTCAGAAAACTAGGTACCTGTGAGTTTGATCTTGGACAGTCGAGCCAAAATGCTGGGCAGATCGTCAGCGTGGAGCTTCATCTCTTTCCACTGCTTTTCTTCCTTTGTCTCTTTGGCCATGTCTAGAGGACGTTCCACTATGGAGGCAGCCTCCAACTCCATCAACTCCTCATCTGTCTTCCTGGACAAAGGCAGGCTGGGGACTGAGAAAGATGGCAGCTCATCCACTTCTGCTCTAGCCTGCCCTGAAGACATGTGTTCAAGGAATGGAGAAGCCGATGGCTCTGGCTTTGGTTTGACTTGCTGGCTAAGGCCTCTGTGAAGCTGTGTGACATACTAGACAGACAGACAGACAGACAGACAGCATGCGTTACTAAAAACAAGGATGCTGCTTGACAGCTTTTACCCCTTAGAAGAGCTTCCTACAACTTTAACATATGTTAACACAGCATGCAACTACAATGTGTGCAACACTGACGTTAGCACTAAAAGATACAGAGATAAAATTAATGTGCTGCCTATGGTTTTAAATTTGTGGTTTACAAAAATCTAGGAATCTAAGTTCCTGTCAAAGAAGAAACATCTGTTATCCACTGACTTTCCTGAAGGCTGAACTTTCTACTCTAAATACAATGAAACATCTATAGATAGCCAAGGTCAGCTATTGACTACCTGAGCTCTTAAGCAAACATCTTAAGGGAAACTCACTGGAAGGCTAACTGGGCCACTCGAGTGAGAGTGTGGGATGAGGAAAGAACTCCAGTTTTAGAGTCAGTCCCTATCACTGATGGGCAAAAACTAGTAATTACTAGTAACATTATGCAGACCCTTATTTTTCATATTAATATATATTTCTTCACAACAGTATTTAAAGACAGGTCTTTATTTATAACTCTTTTATTTATAGATGAGGACACCAAACTTCTAAAATTGACAAAACCAATACACTGGATTTTAGTAAGATTTAACATTAAGTTTTAAGTTAAAGTAGGTATTTTAAGTGGAAGGATGAGATGTTTCTAAATAGAACATTAGACTATGATTTGCTACTCTTTCATAGCAGCACTGTGAATTTCCAGCTGTATTACTATTCTATGACCCTTTTCTAGAAGATGGAGTCATCATGTTGTCACACTCTCATAGTGTATCAACGTAGATACAGGCCTGTAAGAACTACACCATCAGTGCCACTGTAAAAGCACTGGCAAATTACAAAATTACTATTTTAGTCTACTCAGAAATAGTGTGTGTGTTCACATGTAGTGAGGATACAAACACAAGTCATATGTCAACCTTCAGTGTCTCTCCTCAGGAACCATACATCTTTTTTATTTTTAAGATTTATTATTTGTTATGTATAGAGTATTCTGTATGCATGCATGCCTATAGGGCATCAGATCTTATTATAGACAGTTGTGAGCCACCATGTAGTTGCTAGGAATTATACTCAGGACCTCTGGAAAAACATCCAGTGCTCTTAACCTCTGAGCCATCTCTCCAGCCCAATATATCTTACTTTCTGAGACAGTCTCTTGGTGGACTCTGGCACTCAGCTGGCCAGGCCCCTAAGTTCGCCTCATCAGAACTGAGGTAACTAGTGTATGCATACTACCACACTTAGCTTTTATGTTGGTTCTGGGGATCAAACAGAGTCTCCTGGTGGCAAAGCAAGCACTTTACTGACTGAGCCATTCTCCAGTCCCTCAGAAGTATTTTTAAAGACTTTTCAAATCCATCAATGGTCTAGGAAAATAACAGGATCACCCCCACCATTAAACAACTACTTCTGTATTACTGACATATTTACAGAACTCCAAAGAATGTCTAAAAGATACATCACACAAGTTCAGCTTTTCCTAATTTTAGACTGGACAAAATATGCCATAAGTTTTCAATCTTTCTCCAAACTTAATCAACAAATTCAAGATCACATATTTAACATCAAATGCCAGAATTATTCTGATTTCAGTTAAGAATAATCAAAACAAGAGATTAAGCTTTTGGATAAACTCAAGAGAACACTAAATAAAAGCCCCTCTCAAACAGTACTTCCTAAAACTGTCTTCTGAAAGGAATCTCTGCAGGTCCCTCACCCAGAGAAAAGCAGAGGCAGAAAGCAACTGAAGGAAGGCTTCCTTCTACTTACCATGCGCTTGAGGAAGCTTAGGTGCTGGGCCATAACCCACTGATTATTGACATTCCTGAAAAGATGCGCGACC